CTGCCATGGTGGCATGTGCATGCCACCGCGGAGGCCCGCAGTCAGGCAAAAAAATAAAATCCCTTGAGACAGTGATGGCGACAACGACGACAGTGATTATGACGAGGATGATACGGATGATGATGATGATGATGATGCTTAGCATGATGATGATGGTGGTGGTGATGATGATGACGGTGACGGTACTGATGATGATGGCGGCGATGGCCTCGGGCTCGCAACGTGCCTGGACCTAGCAATGCGAAACAAACCGCGAACACCTTCTCGGTTCCCAAGCGTGTGAGACTCGTCCCCTCCACAGCCCCGAGGTTCCCCGCGCGGGCTCAGGGATGCCCCAAAAAACAACCCCGCCTCACCAAAGAAGTCAAACCCAGCAAGAAATATACGGGCCCCACTCCAACGCTTCCACCCTTTGGGCATCTCCAGAACGATGCCAAGATTGCATTCGCGCCCTTTCTTTTCCGATGGCCCCCCCTGGGCCTCGAGATGACCAAGCGGATTCCACATGGCCCCAAGAGAGGTCATTATGGACCCCTACACGACTCCCCAGCCCGATTCAAGCGAGCCGGCAAGACCGCCAAGATGAGGGGTCGGCGGATGTGGCGTAAGCCTATAGAATCAAGTCGGAAACGCAGAGCGGAAGTGGCGCTCGCGAGCACATCGCGAATGCGTTGTGGTGCGCCGAAACACACGCGGAAGTGTCCGCCGCGCGGGCGATTGCAGTGCGGCGGGCGCAGTGGTGCGCACCTGAATAGTCGCGCGCGTAGAAGAGCGTCAATGCAAGCAGCTTGGTGGACACATGGGGCTCCGGAAACTGTGTTTCATGATGATTTCGCGCCCGCAGACCTTTGCCCGCGCTCTGGAGGCCGTCGAGGGCGCCGTTGGGGGCAGGGGTCCGCGGCGGGAGCTCCGTGTCGACGCCAAAGGCCTGCGCGGTCTGAGCGGCGCGCTCCTGGTCGCGCAGCTCTTTGGCCCGCTGGACGAGAGCGGAAGCCTGGAGGAGCAGCACCGTCCAGTGCGGCTCCTCTGCGTTCGTCGCGGCCGTCCCGGGCGCTGCAGGCGCCGCCGGCGGCGGCTCGGCCGCGGGGGCGAAGGCGGCTGCGGGGGCCACCGCCGCGGGCGCGGGGTCCGCCGCCGCCGCGCCGCCGCGCTCGTCGAGCGGAGGCTCCGCCACCGCGGGGCCGGCGCGCTCCTCAGAGGGGGCGCAGGCGCGGGGCTCGGGCGCGGCAGCCGCCGCGGCAGCGGCGGCCTCGCCCGCCTCCGCGGGAGGCTCCGCGGCGCCCCCCTCGTCTCTGGCAGCCGCCGCGGCAGCGGCGCCCTCGTCCGCCTCCGCGGGACGCTCCGCGGCGCCCCCCTCGTCTCCGGCACTCGCCTCAGCGACAGGCGCGATCTGGGCGCCTGCCGCCTCAGCGAGTGGCGCGGCCTCCGCCAGGTCGCTGCTGTCAGCCGGGTCAAGCTCCCGCTTTTGCCATTTTTGCCGTTCCTTGATCACTCTCTCATCGCTCGCGCGTTTGGCCCTCTTGCGGGCCTCTTTGTTATCAGCAGGATCAGGCATTGCCACCCTGGCAACGCGGACGCCCGCAAGCGGCCTCGGTTCTTTGAGCCGATGCAGCTTCGGGATGCGCACTCCGTCCGTGGAGTTGTTCGGAAGGGTCCCGGGAATATCTGGGGGTTCCTTATCAGTGGGTCCCTCGATCTTGCGTACGTCGTGTCGTAATCGCTCCGTGGGAGTGCGGGTGGATGGGTGAATCCATTGTCGAGCCGGCCAGTGCAAGGAAATACACCTGACACGAAGTACTTGGCCGCAGAGGCCCCCAAGAAACCGTCGTTCCCTGCGTCGTCGTCGTCAGTTTTTCGAGCTGCGTCCAGCCGTGGCGACGGGGAAGCCCTCGACGGAGAGAAAGCCACGAACCTCGACCCTCGAGGCTCGAACCTCGGCGCGAACCTCGGCGACGGCCCCAAAAGAGCACGAGCATCAGGTTCAGACGCCCGCGAAAGGTTTGACCGCCAGCGCCCGCGACGACGACGCCGACGATGCCGACGACGCCGACGATGCCGACGCCGACGGCGACGGCGACGGCGACGGCGACGCCGACGCCGACGCCGACGCCGACGCCGACGCCGACGCCGACGACGACGACGACGACGACGACGACGACGACGGCGACGGCGACGGCGACGGCGACGGCGACGGCGACGGCGACGGCGACGGCGAACGACGACGACCCACTCATTGGGCGGCGCCCTCGGCGCCGCTCCCGTGCGCCCCTCGCCAGACCTCCGGGCGTACCAAAAGTGGTGGCCCCCTTCTGGGCCTCAAAACCTATGACAACCTGTGGAAAATCTATGATTTCGGCTCCTTGGGCCTCTTGAGGGTCCAAGACGGCGTGAAGACGGCTGAAAATGGTCTCAAGACGGGACAAGACGGCCGCAAGACGGCCCAAGATGGCCCCAAGAGGGCCCAAAACGCCCCCAAGATGGCCCAAGAGAGCCCGAAGAAAGCCCACCAGAGGGCCTCCAGATGCCAAAAACATGATTGTTTGTTAGTTTTTCAAAGATTTCAACGTTCTCGGTGTTGTCGGCTCTTCAGAAGCCCATGACGGCCCAAGCAGCCTCCAAAATGGTCCCAAGACAACCCAAGAAGCACCCAAGGCGGCCCCAAGACAACCCCAGGGAGCCCCAAGTCAGCCCAAAGAGGCCCCCAAGACGGTCCAAGAGGCCCCCAAGACGGCCCATGAGGATTCCAAGAGGACCCGAAGGCGGCCGCGAGAGGCTCCCAAGAAGGCCCCCGAAGTGGCCAAACGGCGCAAAAGCGCCCCAAGACGGCCCAAGACGGCCCAAGACGCCCCCAAGAGGCCGCCAAGAGGCCCCCAGGAGACCCCCAAAACGCCACAGGAAGCCTCCAAGAAGCTTCCAAGAACCCCCCAGGAGGCTTCCAAAAAGCCCCACAACGGCTGGACTGTACGTGCTCCGGACGTGCACCCCGCGAAGCGAGAGGAATCAAGCCTCCAACAGCCGTGCCCGACCAAAAACTCGAAAAACGGGTCGAGGAGCACAGAGAATCCGCCGACGGCCGAGGGGAGGGGCCAAGGATCCCAGTCGGGAGAAAGGGACCCATACCATTTCCGGACCAGGGCCTCAGCGAAGAGGCGGCTGAAATCAGGCGGATAGGTTTTGAAGGAATAGGTGCACCACGCTCCTGTGGCTCTACGCCCGATGGCCGCCCCATGTCTCCCCTCATGGCCGCGTCGGCCACGCGCGGTGCGGCGCGGCCTCGACCGGCTGCCTCAGCTACGGGGGGCTCGCCGCGAGGAGGCCCTTCGGCTTGCGCGCTGCCGCTCTCCAGCAGCACGGGTCCACCTGCGCGCAGCCCACTCGCGGCAGCTGCAGCGTCCAGGCCAGCTCCTCCGTCTCCCAGGAGCTGATGGACTGCGGCCTCCAGGGTGCCGGCGCGGGGTCCTCCATCACGCAGGGCACCCCGTCGCGGCAGCGACGCCAGCAGCAGCATCCTGAAGGCCCTGAGGAGAGCGCCCCCGAGGCCCAGCTGCTGTCTCTCTCGGGGGCTGATGCTGCTGATGCCCCATGGCTGGCCTTTGGACCTAAGGGGTCCGGCGGACGTCCCCTTTGTCCATCGCCCAGCCAGCGCGCGGGGCGCCAGGTCTCGCGCGGTGGGCCACCCGCGATCCCGATGACCCTTCCATTCGCGATCGGATGCCTCCAGAAGTCCAGGTTCCTGGCATTCGTCATGTCGCCTGTGTCCGCATTGTTCTGACCGTCAAGCGATAGCACCACCGAGGCGGCCCCCAAAGAATCCGGCAATCCTTCGAGCTGGTGCTGGAGGTTTCCCTCACGGCGGTGTCCGCTGAAATGGTGGAGTACGTAACGCTTCCTGATACGCACTTGCGTGGGGAACTCTAGGACAACTGCTGTTTGCTCCTCCTCGTGATACGGCGGTGGCACCAGGTCGAGATCATTGCGTGCAGAAATCCCACGCTTCCAATATTTATATGCTATAATTTTGCCCTCAGATCCTTCTTGTAATTCCTCGCGTCATTGTCAGCTGCTTCCATATCACCATCGCCCATGGGATCGACAAAGGTTCTGCAATACTCCAAACATGGTGGACTGCGGTTGTTGACGCGTCGCAACAGGGCAGCTCTACTGTAGAAATATGCCCCGCAATTCTGGCACAAAAAAACCACGGATCCATCTGTCGCCATGTCATTGTGAGTGCAAAAGTGCGCGGTGCCTCTTCCAAGCTTTTCGCGTTGCCAAAACCTTGCCACAGTCGTAACAGATGACTCCCTTTCCACTGGGGGCCTGATCGGCTGGCGCGAAGGTGGGAACAGGCAGCCCACCTTCAGCGGCCCCTGCGGATCTCCTTCTGCCACAGGATGTGTCTGAAGTGTTCCTGCTGTGCGGTCGCTGCTCGATGCCCGACCCGTTTGACGATGTTCAAGACAAGTCTGAAACCCAACTCTCTGGGGACCTGAATCCAAGAAGCCGAGGCGTGCCTCTGGTCAAACGCAACTTCACGTTCATTAACGAAGTCGTTGGTCCAAGACAAATCATCCTCCATAAATTTGTTCAAAGCTCCATTTTAATCCCCAAGACAATGAATAGAGCGGAAGACCTGGTAATCAGCGAAGTGCATGGGCCTGACCAGATGCAGCAGACGTTGGCGTCGCATGAGCAGTTGCCACGTAGACCTCCCCACTTCAAGGAGCACCTCCTCGTCCCTCAAGCGTCGGCTGCTTTCGAAGTGCGACATGTCGGCTGCAGGGCGGCGCGCCATCAAATACCTCGAGACAACCTGCGATTCTAGCCGAACGCCCAGAGGCCCCCGCACTTCAGCATTGTAGGTCAGGGTGCTGTCGCAGAGCGCCGTAGTGAGGGTTACGTTGGCCTGCTGCTCTACGTTCTGAATCTTGTTGACAGTGATGCGCATGGGGCCCCGCAGCAGCGGCGCGTCCCTTCGCCCTCCTGGAAATGCTCGGAACTTCGCTGCGCTGACTGTCGATCGCCGCGCCGAGGTTCACTGCTGAGCCAACGATCTGCAAGTCGAGCGAGAGACCTTCGTGCCGCGCGTGGGCCGGGCTGGTCTGCGCGATGCCGAACTTCGCCTTGCGAGCGCGCGGGCCAAAGAAGCCGATGGGGAAATTGGTCTCGTCGAAGTCGAGTGAGAAGCCGTACTTGTTGATGAGCAGCGCAAGACTAGAGGCTATGTCGCCAGTGGCCGACGGCCAAGCCCTGCATGGCGGCGTCGCATCATCGACAATGGAAACCTCCTCAACTGCGAAGGGGTTGCTGTCAGGTTTGGCAGGATGCCATTCTCCCTTGGCGGAAGTTCCATAACGTGGCCAGCCCGTCGAAGGTCGCCGTGAAATTCCAGATGACGGGGCGCGAATCCCAAATTATATACCAGGTCGGCAAGGCCGTCGCTCGGCCCGGCACCCCTTCTACTCTCGGCAATCCTGGCGGAACCTTGGGTGATGAAGAAGGGACGCCTGCGCGCCTCAGCGATCGCATGGTGCAGGGGCGGATCGACGGAGCCCACCTGGAGCGCAGCAGGCCAGGTCGTGCTAACAACTCCTGGGCGGCTGGCTCCGTCCAGTGTCGGATGTCCGGCTTCTGGTATATGTCGGTGATGTCCTCCTGATCTGTGGGCCCCCTGACAATGTGCTGCCTGGCCACCGTGCAAACTGCTGCCTTCAAGTCGATCATCGGGAGAATGCTGGCCATGTTGTTCAGCTTGCAGGACTGCGGGGAGGCCTTCAGAGTGCAAGTGGCCATGGCAGTACTCCTCTTTGAAATCCCCTCGCACTGCGCGTGCTTCAGAAGGTCCAGGTGCACGTCGATGACCACGCTGCGCAGGAAGGCGCGATGGTGCTGCGCGACGATACTATTGAGAAGTATGCTGCGGTAGGTGGTGAAAAGCCTAGACGAGCCAGCCCTGTGCAGCTCCACGGCAGCGCCTACCTTGAATTGGACAGGCTTTTGTCCAAGGAGGCGCGCCTTCGTCAGAATTTGGCGCCACAGTCTGGACTTGGCCTTGGACATGCTCTGGGGGGATCGTTGGGTATACCGTCGGGTCCAAAGGCCTTCCCCCGGGCGCCCTTCTGGAAGCTCCTGGCGAGGCCCTGGCGAGACCAGGACAACCTAGACGGTGCCTCACTGAGCGGTTGACTGCCGTAGGCTGTAAAATTGTAGCGCTCCACGTGCGCGCGTGGGTCGATGGCGCGAGCCTGCTCAACGCTGGCGAAGTAATGCAGGCGCGCCTTGCAGAGGTGCTGGTCCGGGGTGATGATGGCGCCGTCCGTGTCCCCCCTCTCTGGGTAGATGGAGGACCACTTGCCGGGCCTTCCCCAGATCGTGAGGATCCGCTTGGCGATCCTCGATTGCTCTGTGGGGTCGTCGTCATTCTTGGTGCGCATGAGTTGGTCGGCTAAGATGCTCATCTCCTGCCCCTCGGCCTTCGTCGCAAAACGGTTGAAGAAAGCGGGCGCGCCGTCCAGGAATAACATCTGACTTGAGACAACCACGCCAGCAGTGTCAAGAGTTCCACGAGCCATCTTAAGCTGCAAGAGATACGGTAGCCAGATGGCGTCATAATTGCCACACACACTTGCCTTTCCGTAGGAATTACTTCGCGCAAGAGCTGCAATGATAAGTTGTTGCCGTTGTGGTGCCGTCTCTGGAACCTTTGGACATACCTGCGACTGCGGACGAATCTCATGGCGTCGCGGACCATGGCATGCATCTTTGGAGTGAAGTGGTCCTGGCCGAAGTGGTCCTGGAGGCAGTCCTGGACCCGGGCCCGGATGCAGTCGCAATGCATGTTGACGTCGAGGCTCCACGGCGGTAGTGGCATCGCGTCGAGGTCCCTGTGGCAGGCCTTGCGCTTGTCAGCGCCCTTCATCTTCTCCGCGTAAAGCATGGCTCTGCTTTGGCCCCCAGCCACCTGTGCAGTGATGTTGCAAGATGCAAGAAAGGACAAGGGCATAGTCCTTGCGCTTGCCCGTGCCGTCGAAGCTGCGGTCAGTCCTAAAATTGGCGATCCACTGGAAGAGGTGCTCGCGCATCAGGATGTAGTCAATCCTGTGCGGCATGCCGTTGTGGGGCTTCCAGGTGTACTGGTACTCGCATTTGGGGGCCTTCGCCGAACTTGGCCCCTCGAGTTTGACCAGGCAGGGCCCCGGTGCATGCCGCGTCTGTCTGGCCAACGCATTGACAATGCACAGGTGACGCTCGCAAGCGACGTCGCGCAGCTTTGGGCCGCTGTTGCCCTGCTTCTGTCGAAAGCCCTCCAGCTCCACGAAGTCCGACCGGATGTCCCCGAGTCTACTGTTGCCATCAATAAGAACCAGGGTGGGATTGAACTGCTCGAACATCTGCTGTGCCAAGGCCCACATCGCACCCCTGTCCTTGTCCCGCGGGTCGCGGCAGCTGCGCGGCTCACTGGCATAGGCGACGACCTCGCCGGAAAACTGAGCCGAGACCCTGGCCACTAAGAGGTGTGGGTGCTGGATGAGGACCTTGACATGCTTGCGGTTGAATCAGTAGCTCTCGCCCTATCGCTTGGCGCATGGCAGGGCGGTGGAGAGCAGAAGGGCACGGCCGAGGTTGCCCTTGACCCCCGGACTGGCGACGGTGAAATAAGCGTCGGCACTCCAGGCCTCGGCGGGGCCCCGCGCCTCCTGGGCGCCTGCAAGATGCATGCCACATTGGCGAAGTTGTTGCTTGACCAGCTTGCCCTTAGCGCAAAACTTCCGGCTGGCCTTGGGTGCTCAGACCTCGCCATTCATAGATTGCGCGTTGAACTGGTAGACTTTGACGTTGATCTGCCCCGTCACTGAGCGGCTGGGCGGCCGCTAAGAGCCTGCTTTTGTCCTATGCGCGATTGCGGGCACGATCGCACCGCGGCGGGCTCGGCCCCCCCCGATCGCACCGCGGCGGGGTTCGGCCCCCCGGGGCCTCTTTCGAAACCCCCAGGCCCTCGGGGGGAGGAAGACCAGGAAAAGGGAGACGGGGCGCGGGGGGAAGAAAGGATTGAAAAGAAAGAAAAGAGCAGCAGCAGAAGCACGAGCAGGAAGAACAGGGGTGGCGAGCGAGGAAGAGAAGAAACGATGTGTAGCTCATGTGACTCAAGCCAATTTGACTTTTCCCAAACGGGCCCAGGATGGTTCCGCCAGGCCTGTCCTCGGTAGGGTCGCTATGCACGCAATTCAACGCTGCGCCAACGCGGTGGCCTCGCTTCTTCGGCCTCCTCATCGCGGACGACAGCGACGACGACGAATTCCTGGGGAACCCTTGAGGTTCTCTGGAAGCCCTGGAAGATCCCGACACATGCGGGGAGAACAGCGCGACGTGATCGGGGGGCGGCGGGCGGTCGCGAGCAGAATCGCCCAGACTAGAACCAACAAAAAAAAAAAAAGAGCTCTTAAGGTCACGCCTGGCCTCTGCAAGCTGCGGGGCGACGTTGAGCGAGAACGCGTCGTTGGTGGTCGGGGCAGGCTTGCTCCGCGCGAGCGTCGGCCTGGGCAAGCCAGCCCCAGTCCAGAGCAACATCGTAGTGGAGGCGTTCGGTGATAAACTGGTGGCATGGCATCCACTTCGGCTGAATGCAGGCGCCCTTGGCAAAGACGTCGGCCGCTTCGTTTCAGGGCGCACCCGGGTGCCCCTTGGCACGCGCAAAGCTGGCCCCCCTGCCGCACCTGATCTCCTCGGCCAAGATGGCGGTGAGCCTGGGCAGGTGGTGGTGGTGGTGGTGGTGGTGGTGGTGGTGGTGGGACATGTTGAGGCCGTCTGCTGCGCCGAGCGCTGCAGTGTTGCCCCCATACGAATGCGCGCGGTAGGTTGTCGTCTATGGAGACCGCCCCGATCAACGCCCACATCAGTCCTGCGAGCTCCACTGCAGAACTGGACGCGGCCTCGCCCAGGTCCCTTGGGATGGAACCCATGTAGCTGGCCACGATGTGCCCCGCGCAAGGGAAGACGCGGTCGTTCTCGCCGACGTGGACAACGGCCCAGGCCGCGAGGGACGGCGCATGCCCATCGAACGAGGCGTCTGAGAAGAAGTAGTGCTTCTTAGGCTGGGCGTCTCTCATGGGCGCAAGATGCTTGAGCGCTGCCGGGGTGCATTCGTGAAAATCATGGCGAAATTAATCCCTGTGCCAATCAATCGCACTGATGCGCCCGAGTATCTCGGTAGAGAGTGAACGTAGACCCCCTGTCTTTCAGTTCCTTCTGCAGCCGGCGGTGGCCCGCATGCCGACAGCTGCCTGCTGGGTCGCGATGTCTGGCCCCTCGGCTGACGGCGCAGAACTGCGTCTCAAAGTCAAACTGGGCCGCGTCGAGTCCACTCTGCGCTGGCGGGCGCCACCCTCGCCTGGAAAGGCCCGACGCAGCCGTGGCGAGCCGGGCGGCTGTCGCTTCTGACCTGGCGGAGGTGGTCGCGCCTCCTCGTCCGCTGCCAACCCGAGAAAAGAAGGGGGGACCTCATGCGCCTTCTGTGAAGCGGCGCCTGAATTATCGAGTCGCCGATGTCGCGCCGCTCCTCGGCGGTCGGCAGGGCGCGGAAGTCCTCGCGCGGAGCGAAATCCAGGCCCTGCGCCATTATACGTCCAAAATGGCGCGTTGGCAGTCCTGTGCCCAGCCCTGGCCGCTGCTGGCTGAAACTGACAGCTGCCCCTGCGAGGTGGGTCTGCCACCTCTGCTGCCGGCGCGCCGCCTGGGGGCTGCGGTTCGCCCGCCCGCCGCTGGCAGGGCGCAGCCTAGAGCGCGTTCGACGCTGCGACAGGCGCTGCGCCTCCTGAGCCGACGGCGCCGGCGGCGCGCTGCGCCACGCGGGCTGGGCGAAGTTCTCGCGCGCCTCCCTGGCGAGGCGGAGGCCCTCGAGCCCCTGCCCCCTCGTCTGGAAGAGCTTCCTCCTGACTCCGCCCTCCAGCGACTCCTGCTTGCGGCGCTGCGGGCGCGCCTCCCCAGTCGATGACGCAGCAGCTGTGGTCGCGCTCTCGTGGCCGCCCTCTGGCGGGGGCCCTGCTGCCGGGGCGCAACGAAAGACGCCCTTGCCCTGTGCGCGGCTTAGGGGCTCGTTGCGAAGTTGGCCGCCGCTGGGGTCGGCGTCGCTCCGGATGGCCACGTGGCTAGCGGCGAGGCTGGGGGGGGGGGGGGCGTCGTCGCTGGGGAAGCTCTCCGTGGGGGAACGCGATCGCGCGCTGATCGGTGTCGAGGTCGCCCTCTGCCTGGCCCCTAGATGCTGCCCCAGCTGATGCGCAATGCCCCCCCATCCTGGCTGCCGCCGCTGCGGGCTGCTCTCCAGGTGCCGCGGTGGCTGGCGAGATCTCCCGTTGGGACAGACTGCCGCCGACCGCGACCTCTCCGAAGTTCTGCTGCACCCGCGGCAAGTTGATCGGCGGGCAGGTCGTCACCTAGCTGGCGGGCGCGGCCAGCCCATGCACTGCAGAATGAGGCCCAAGGGCGACTTGTCCTTCATTCAGCCCAAGAGGACTGGATGCGCGCTGCGGACTCGGCGATAGCACGCTGCTGGATAATGATATCAGCCTGCTGCCCCTGCTGCCGCTGCACCTCGCTCGCCAGTCGCGCGCCCTGCTCGACGAGCTCAACGCGAGCGTGCTTCTGCACCTCCCACGTGCCATCCAACAACTTATCCATGCATCGCAACTGTGAGGCGCGAGCGTCTGTCGCCTCCTCGCAAGCGGTGAGGCGGTTGGAAGGCCTGCTCTGCCCCCGCTCTGACCTCACCTGTGGAATACGCCGCCGCCGTCTCCTCCATCTTTATGGCGTGGCGGGCCTGCCTGTCGATATCCGCCACTCGTGCTTCTGTCGAGGCTTTGACGCGCTCCTCCTCCCCCCCCCATCCTCCTCCTCCTGCAAGTGCAATCGCCTTCAATATACTTCCTTGGACATATGTCAATCATCTGTCCCTCGAGGGCGGCGGCTGTCTGCTGATCCCCTTCGAGCTTCATCTCGAGCTCCTGCTGTCTCCTGGCGCGCGCTGCCTCGATCGCCCCCTGCCCCTCCGCGATCTTCATCTGGATATGCTACCGCCTCCTGGCGTGGAGAGCCTCAGCTTCCTGGAGGCTGCGGGGGGCGGCAAGCATCTCGGAGGTCTCGGCGCGCTTGATGCACTCCTTGCTGGCCAGGACCTCGCGAGACCTGGCGGGCCCTTTCGGTCTGAACCTACGACCGCTGATGTAGCCCCCCCGAGCGCTCCGCCAAGAATCGACGCTGGTTCTGGAGCCCCGCCCGCAGCTGACGCTGCTTCACGAGACCTCCGCGCTGCTGGCCATGCTCCAGGTGGCGCATGTGGAAGAGCCTCCTTCCTCTGCTCCATCTCCTGCCGGGTGGTCTCCTCGATGTGCCTCCAGCGCTCCATATGCTGGGCCTCTGCGCGAGCAAAGACTGCTGTGCGCTGATCGAGGTCCTGGCTGCACTGCAAACGCTCTTGCTCAAGCCGACGCTGGTGTCGTAACTGCTCATGCAACTCCTGAGGAGGATTGGCATGTATTTGCTGCTGCTGTTGCGCGAGGCTTTCCTGTGGGCGAATCTGCTGCGCAACTTCGTGGTGTTGCGGCTGTCTGGCCGCGCTGAGCTGCTCCTGGATATCCCACTATTGGTTGTCCAATCTTGCGCTGAACTGCTTCAGCGCCTGCATGACTTCCGTGGTGAAGTCCATACTGGAGTGGCTGGCGAAACGATCTCCCACTCGGCAGTTTGGGAGCGCCTCTCCTCGCTCACTGCCGTGAGCTGCGCTGTTCTGCCCACGGCCATAGCTGCTCCCTGTGGAGCCGCTGTGTGACCTTGGGTTTTGGGCTGCTCCTTGACCCTCCATGCGGTTCCGTCGGGAGCCGAGGGACGAACGCCTGCAAGAGCTGCCATGGGAGCCAAGGGGGCCGCATGCCCCGCATCCTCGTCCTCTTCTGCGCTGCTGTCCTCGGCGTCCGTCGTCGTTTTCTACTCATGTTCCTGCTCGCCCGCCCTCGCGATGCGGACTTCCAGCTCCCTGCAGCGTTTCTGCAACCTCTTGATCTGCTTCACGTTGACCTCGAGCTCCTTGTCCATGTCGTGCCTGAGCTTCGCGAGCACAGGAAGCTGCACTCCCTTGGGTTTCATCATCAAGAGTGCCGTTTTCAAGGCACCCAACTCCTGCTCCTCGATGGCGGTCTCCTTTTTGGCTCCCTTGTTGGCCAGGTAGACCGCCACCATATGCCTGATCTTGATCACCACCGTTGCCTTGAAGGCGCGTCGTCCTCCGGCGGTTCCTGCCGCCCTTTGGACCCTCAGGCCTCGTCAATCGTGAGGTGCGCGACGCTGTCCAAGATTTTGGTGTGCTCCTTGTCGAGCCGCTCCTTCTTGCCCTGCTTCTTGTTGTTTTTGTGCTGGGTCCGCTGGTGCTACTGCCCGGTGCTGCTGGTCGCTGAATGGCTGCTTGTTTGGCCTCGATTCCTGGCCG